GCGCGCCCGAGTCGTAGCCCCGCCCCGCCTTCTCGGCCGCTGCAGACCCGGGCGCTAGGGGAGCGACGCCCCCGGGGCTGGGTGCCAGGGCAGAGGAGCGATTCGTGCCACGTTGGTCCCCCGCCCCCGGTCCGCCACGGTTAGCGTTTCCGTCGCCCCCGAAAGAGCCGGGCCTGGGGAAGCTGCGCATGGGCCCCGCTGGAGGGGACGCGCAGGAATGAACAGAGTTGTCCCTTCTGGCCCGCACCTCGTTTTACGGACGAGGAATTGAGGCAGAAGTTTAAGGCAGATGACTTGACTTGAGTTCTGCGGTCCTGGGGAGCAAAATCGACACCGGAAACTGGAGATGTCATTGCCTCTAGGACGGGCTCTTGAGTGTGGCCCCGCGTAGGTGTTGAATGAACAATAGTTGAAAGACTGAATCTCTCTGCTCTCTGTCCAGTTTTCTTCTGTGTGGTTTCTGCCTGTTTTCCATCTATCCACTTTCTGTTTTAAAAGAAAGTACTCAGCCGGGCGTGGAGGTGCACGTCTGTAAATCCCAGCACTAGGGAGGCTGAGGCAGGAGGATCTCTGCAAATTCGAGGCCAGTCTGAGCTACATAGTGAGTTCAAAGCCAGCTTTAATTACACAGCGAGACCCAGTCTCAATGAAAATAATAATACTACTAATAATAAGTACTCGCCCCAAGCCCATTGCACGCCGAGCGTGGTGGCACAGGAGCCCCACAGTGTCGTGAGAGTCAGCAGGCTTCGGCTTTCCTGGGGCTTCCGGGGGTGAGAACACCAATAAGCAAGCAAACAAATAAGCGTCTCGATCTGTACGTATGATACCAGTAACTGGTACCAGTAACCCCCACCCCGCCCCCATCTGTGGAGAACTGGCTCCAGGACTCCCAGGGATACACAAACCTTCACAGGCGCAAGGCCCTTACAGGAATGGCTTGGTGTGGTCCACCCGTCTTTACTTTATCTCCCCCTCCCCCAAGATCTGCATAACCATGAATAGGGAGACACAGCTTACTGTATAGTTTAACAATTGCTTGACTTACTTGTTTTTCTTTTTGAGCTAGTCTGGTGGGGCATCAGGAACAGATCTAACTCATTTCTTAATTGGGCAACTCGAGAAAAGACTCTCTCTGACGATAGGCACGTTAACATTTGCACATACACAGGCACAAGCCAAGAGATTCTGACTTAGTAGTTAAAAGGCGGGCCCAGAAATCTCCATGTGGGTACACCTTGTCCTCCCAAATCCACATGTAACTGAGAGGAACAGAAGCCTGCTTCTTCCCAGTAGATCATTTCTGCTACATAATTACTCTCTCTAATATATCGTTTCCCCAGAGCGCCTCCTCTCCCAGACATTTTGCTGTTCCCCGGGATGGGCTTCAAAACTTCCCTGCTCCTGCCTCACCCTCCGGAGTAGCTGGGACTGTAGATGCGCACCACTGCACCTGGCCAGAGCTATCTTTCTAAAACATAAGTCTGAACACGTAGTTGCTTTGCCGAATGGCTTTTACTGGCTTCTGGTGTTGGTAGCATAAAATGTGGCGTTCAGAACATTTCAGGCTAGCCTTCGCGAGTCGTCCCAGCCCTCTCTCGCCCCACGCTCTATTCATCCGCCACAAAGCTGTCCCTTGTCCTCGTTCCTTGTATATAGTATATTCTTTCTTGACTGTAATTTTGTGTGTGCTGTTTCTTCTGTTTGGAATGTCCATTCTCCTTCTGTGTCTGACAAACCTTTTGTAGGATTCAGCTAAAAACTTGCCAACTTCTGGGGCTCACTGCTGTCACCGTCCTCTCTCCATATCCATTTTAACACTGCGTGAACAAAGTAGTATGTGAGAGCATTTTAAAGACAGGCATGTGATTTCCTGAGTGACGCCCTCAGGAGCCCTCCTCTTAGGAGAGATTTTAAGGGTGTGGAACACTTTTGTAGTTCAATAAAAGTTTTTGTAGCTTATGCTTGGGTATGCCTGCATACTAACATGCAATTTCAGCTGCATTCTAAGGAGAGTGTACAGGTTTAAAAACGGTATAGACAATGTTCTATATGATTCCAAAAATATGACACTCTGGGAAAGTCAAAAATATGAAGACAGGAAGAAGGTCAGTGGTTGCTAGGGGCTATTCATACCAGTCATGAATAGGTAGAGCGCAGAGGATTTGTAAAACAGTGAAACTCCATACGATACTACAATAATGGAAACATATCGTTATATATTTTTCTAAACCCATGAAATGTACCACATCAAGAGGAAGTCTAATGCACACTATGGCCTTGAGTGATAATGACGTATTCATTTGTTGTAACAAATGCACCACTTGGATGGGGGACCTCGATAGCAGGGACAGGTCAGCACATGTGGGAACAAGAGATGGATGGAATTCCCTGTAACCTCCTCCCAAGTATGGTGTGAACCTGAAACTATCCTGATAAAATTTAGTCTATTAAATTAAAAACAGCATGACTCGTGGTTACTTACCTGGTTCTTCCTATTCACTGGTTCAGGGTGAGGTGTGACACTCACCCTAGTTATATTAAGGCTTTCCGGCTAAGTGCCTCTAGTGCCAAACTGTGGAAGAGGAAGAGTCCCTGAAAGAAACATTTACAGGAAGTGTGGAAGATCTTCACATCCCACTCCCCTTGATGATAAAAAGCTCCTGTGCAGGAAGACACTGCGAAGGTAGGAATTGTGGCACTTTTCCTGAGGGAGAGCTGGTCAGTCAGGATGACGGACATTTCAGGTCACAACTACATGAACCATAACTACTGTTGTTGGACAGAATGTTATGTAATAATTTATATTTTATGCCTGACATTTCAAGCATTCTGTAAACTCTCCCAGAGCACTAAAAAAGAAAGCATTTGGAAAAACCACTGTATCCCTTCCCAACGGTCCGTCCTCATCCCTCCTGGCCAGAGTGCCTCAGATGATGGCTTGGCTTGGGAGACAGTAGGTTGGAGGCAGGGTTTTAGTTCTGGGCATCTTTGAAAAGTATAGTTCAGTCTTAGTACTGAGACGGAAGGATACTACTGAAGACAAGTTGATTTCTCGTATCACAAGTTGATTTCTCGTATCACATTAACCCTGTTTTGATTGTTACCTTCAACTCCTTCAGTGAGAGGATGGTTCCTATACCCATTGTCAAGGAAGTCAGGAAGACAAGTTTGGGGTTTTTTTGTTGTTGTTGCTGAAAAAGAAACTGAAACAAGTAAAAATAATGGATCACATGTTCAGAGCCACTTGAGAAAGCTGAAGAAGAGTTTCATTTGTACAGAGTCCTGTTTATAAATCTTCCACAGAAAGCAGTCAAAGTAATTCTGAACCTCCAGACAAATGTAAGGAGGGCATGAACGTCTCCTCGTGGCTGCTATCCCCCTCCAACATCCTCTCACACACCCAACAGACCTCTCATTTTAAGGCCTTCGAAAACGTGAAAGAAACAATTCGGGGAGAGACACTGAGTCCGAGGAGGAGCACGGGGGCTTCGGTTACCCATTCCTCTCAGGAAGGGACTTTTCCAGGGGCCTCCAAATCCATCTGTAAAGTGTGGAAGCTGAGGCTCTCCACAGTTGATGGTAAAAAAAATGCTAATTATCCCTAAGCAAACATGTCCTGCTTCAAAAATAGACAAATTGTCACAGTATTTTCACCCACTTTTTAACATGTCAGAAGAGTTTTCATCAAAGAGCATGTAACTTCTTGCACAGGGTGAGAGCTGCTCATTGTACATTGGGGTAATGAGCCCCCTTCCCCTCCCTCCCTTCCTTTCTTCATTTGTGCTGTTCATGTTAAGCACAGGCTGTACCACTGAGATGCACCTCCAAACCCCTTCACTATTTTTATTCTTAAAAGGTCTGGCCCTCCTCTGTCCAGATATTCTGGTGGTCTCCATACTTAGACACTTTCAGGGCATCGATAGAACTCTGGGCAACAGATGATCACGGCCTGTGCAGCAATGCCCCTAGTCCTGTTGTGTGGCTACCCTGACATGTGGGACAGCAGTTTCCCCACCCCTTTCACAGGGGTCAGACCCACAGGGGAAGTCCAGTAGGAGACAGAGCCATGGGTGTGACTGAGAAGGAAACTCCTTTCTCTCTTGAGGCTGGCCAGTTCCATTAGGGTACCAGGGGCCTTCCCTAAGTACCTCTTCAAGCAAACCCTCATGTTTCTCCTAAGGATCCAGGAAGGCTGAGAGGAAACAGAAGGTATAGGTTCTGGCTAACCTGGTTGCTGAGACTTCTGCGTAGTCTTTCGGTGTTTTTAACTTTCTAGAATGAAACAAATACTACAGGCCTGAGCTGATCCATGTTCTAGGGGTGGAGTCTTAAGAACTGAGTAGGGTCGGGATATAGCTCAGCAGCACAAGTACTTGCCTGGCACCAAGGAATCACGAGTTTGATTCCTGGTACCAAAAAACAAGAATAGAGTGAAGGAGAGGAGAAGACCCTTTACCCCCACACACACTGTGTGCCAAGCCCAGAGCTCAGTGCTTTGCATAGATTCCTTTATTCCTCATTACAGCCCTTCAGGGATTATTGGTTTTTAAAAAAATTTCTTATAAGGTACATCTGAAGCCCAGGAAGGATAGATCTTAGCACAAATCGTATAACCCAAGAGTTGGCATCAGCATTCCAACCAAACTTGGCTTCTTTGCACAAAGCATGCTGTGTCCTCAACACTAGCCCAGTGGTTGAGGAAGGGTCTTCAGCTTGGCATGGTGTGAGGTAGTCGAGCCTCAGCTCCCTTACGTGTAAAGTCCAGGAGTTGAATTTATGTTTGAAAAATGTTTGAAAAA